TGGGGTCACAAGTTTTTGCCATGAATATTTTGTGGGTCAGAAGATAAAAAGTTTGGGAACCACTGGTTTAGAGTACTTAGACATCAGTATCATATACTGTATACCTCAAATGTTGAAAAAAAATAATGCACACACCAGTGTTTCCCCTACCATTATACAGGCGGGCGATGAAAACTCTGCTTTTAATCATGTAGCACTGATGCGACAACTTTGCAAGCTACTTTTTCTTTCTTTAAAATAAAATGCAACAGGTGAAGCCACAGCACTGTTACCTGATCAATAATTTAGAATCACCAACACAGACCCCGCGTGCGATCAGGTTCCTGCGAGTCCGTTTATGTTCTATAAATAGCGCTGATCAGCAGCGCAGCTGTAATGTCCCTCAACTTTGAAAAAAGTAACCAGAGTAGTTTGTAAACTCAAATCCAGACAGAATCAGCTGCTGTACTGGTCCTGCTGGACTAAACATCGAGCTGAGCACTCCTCTCCTCTCCTCTGTCTCACACACACCGCAGGTCAGACAGTCACGTTCAGGAGCATTAACCCATAAGGGCCCAGATAATAATCGGTCTTTAAAATGTGGTAAATAAATTATTTTCAGTGACTGAGAGGAAGTGTTTTTGATAGTTGCATAATTGCATTTTCTAAATGTTATCCTTTATATCTACAAGATAGTTCTAATTCTTAGAAAGGACATGATTTGAGGTTTTTAATGATAATATTTTATTCAAAACGTGTTACAGAAGTCAGAAGAAGCAGGTTTATTTTGAACAAACATTACAAACDTGTTCATTCCTACAAAACTGTCAAATATATTTACAAACAACACTAAACGGACTCAGATTAACATAAAGTAAATCATGTTTTATAATTAAATGTCTGTTTCCTGCTATAAAGAAAAATCCTCCTCCTGTCCTCCTTGTTCCTAATCAGGGTCAGGGTAGGGCTGGAACCTGTCCTCGCTGCCTTTGGGTGAAGGCAGGGGGCACCTGGACAGGTCTCCAGTTCACCAGAAACACCTGGGGTCTCATTTATAAAGGATTGCGTGGAAACCATTCTAAAAGTGAACGTACGGCTAAAAGGCGGAAATGGCTTACGCCAAAAAAAATTCTGATTTATAAAACCGTGCGTACACACGTTTCTGCGCACCTTTCCTTTATAAATCACAGTCGCACGTCAGAGTTTGCGCACGAGGTCCCACCTCAGGTTCTACCCTCTACACGCCCACATTCAACCATAAACAGTCAATGTAAAGTACCTCATGAATGTTAAGATGTATTTAAATCTGTCAGCTGATCAGTGTCAACAAAAGTGATTGGTTCAGACACGCTCCGTCGTGCCTCTGGAGGATGACAGGTGCTGACTGACAACTGCTCACGTGAACAGAATGTCTGTAATTGACACAGATTTTCCCTCATTTTGCTTTAGAGTAATCTAACGATTTTTATAAAAAAAATAAAAATAAAAAACCTTAGCTTCAAATTAATTTTCCATCAGAGCCTGCAGGATGATAAAAAACAATAAAATTAAGTTAAATAAGTCAGATAAAATTAGAAATTAGTCCACCGCTTTTCTCCTCATCCTCTCCCCCTCCTGCTGCTCTGTTATCCACAGCAGACACCCCCGCTCGTGCACACACACACATACACACACACGCATCCCCCCGCGCGTGTGACAAACACGGACTTTAAATGTTTATAACATTCACACTGGCGAGGTGGATGCGCCCTGCGCGTGTATCCAAAACTTTTGCTGTCCTGCTGTTCTTATCGGGGAGGGGTCTGTGGGTCAGGGAGGTGTCTGTGGGTCAGGGAGGGGTCTGTGGGTCAGGGTCGTCTGAGGAGGAAGCAGATGAATGGAGTTGCACACGGGAACTTTTATTTAAGATTTAAGTTTTTTTTTATTTCAAAGGTCCTCATGGCTCAGCAGCAGAAGCATAAAAATTACTGTTAAGAAAGTTGATGATAAAGTTTAATAAAAATCTAAGTCTGATTATGAAGGTAAATTAAATATCTGACAGTGATCATTACACAGTGTGGCTCTAATTCTTCACTTCACCATCTGTGTCGCAGTTTCACGTCTCCAAAATGAGTGTACGCATGGGTCAGAGCTGGCGTGAGGCACCGCACATTTTCACGTCAAGTTTGGATTTTATGAATCACAACCTTGGCGTAAAAAGTGGCGTATGCAAGTTTCTGGGCTCAAATTGTGCGTATGCCAGTTTTATAAATCCGACCCCTGGACAGGTCTCCAGTCTCCATCAGGGACAAAAAAGAGACAATCAACCATCCACACTCTGTCACACCTAGAGTCACACAGAAGAGCTCCAGAAGGTTTCAAACTGAGAACTCTGGACTCAGATCATCTGCTGCACACAGTTTTAATCACTTATTATCAATAATAATTTTATTGATAATTATCATGAGGAGTCCTTAACTTTAGGATGTAGTTAGGCAATTAGATATTCATGTCTGTGTAAATTTATTACCATAATTGAAAGTGAGTTGCGTAAATTTATGTTTTCATAAAACAAGTAGCCASCCCCCCCCCCCAAGACCAATTTCCTAGGGGAAACACTGCACACTATAGAATATTTGAGGAAATTGACACAACTACGGCAAAAACTCACCTCTCCACAAACTCTGTTGTGAGTAGACGTTAGATAATTTTGTCCTAGATCTGAAACTATGGACTAAGTGTTCCACACAACCCTACTTCAAAAGATAACCTTTAAAACTGTAGAGAGTTGGTTGGTAGTAATGTGAAGTATTTTCATTGTACTTTTAGGGATTCTCTAGAAAAGCGTCAGCCAAGCCATCCGTCTCCTGTACCCGTTCATCCCATCAACCTCCTGGGACACAGCCGGCCCCCTGAGCACCACAGGAACCACCTGCCACCTGCTTCTGGAGAGCCTCAGAGGGACAAGGAGAACAAGGCCAAAGACCGAGAGAGGGAGCACTTGGACTCTTGGAAAGACAATGGAGCAGACGACCACAAACTAAAAGAAAGCCAGCACAGTGACAAGGACACTCCTGTCATTCACGATGGCAGAGTGTCAGAGGATAAAGTGTCCAACCGGGGGACAACGTCGCCGTACATTCGTCAGACCAGTCTGGAGCGTCCCAACAGTGGTCTGAGCAGGGACGTCCTGGAGAAGAAGGCAGAGCTGTCGTACGAACAGCAGAAGAAGAATAATGAGGTGAAAGTAAAGGAGGAAAAGAAGGAGGAGCAGGACGGAGCCACAGAGAGACCAAGTGAGCCCCCGCCACAGGCCCCCTCCACACCCACTCTCCACCCTCCCTCTTCAATGCCTCTGCCCATGGGCATGGCTGGTGTCCACCCCATCAACAGCATCAGCAGCTTAGAGAGAACTCGTGTAGTGGCCCCGTTCATGGGGACGAGCCCCATCGCAGGAGCTGAGAGGTTTCCCTACCCGGCCTTCCACTGGGACCCCATGAGAGACCCCTACAGGGGCCTGGACATTCACAGACGGGACCCTTTGGCCAGGGACCTGCTGCTAAGGAATGATCCTCTCCACCGGCTAGCGGTGCCGCGCCTCTACGAGGTGGAGCGCTCCTACAGGGACCGTGAGCCCCACGACTTTCACCGTGACCATGCCCACTCCCTGGTGCTGGAGCAGAGGAGGGAGCAGGAGCGCGCCCACCTGGAGGAACGAGAGCGCCTCAACATGCTCAGAGAGGACTACGAGCACGGACGCCTCCACCCACCCATCCACCACCCCGCCCTGGAAGGCCACCTCCCCCACCCTGCCCCGGCCCTCATGGCCCCCGGGCTCCCGGGCATACACTACTCCAGGGTGAGCCCCTCGGCAGCGGCAGCAGCTGCAGCTGCCCATCACAATAGCCTCCTTAACAAACCCCCCCCAACAGCATCTTTAAGCGCTCCGCCCCCCCTCATCCCCACGCTGGGTGTCCGGCCTGGCTCGCCCAGACGGACTACACCCCTGGCCACAGATATCAGAGACAGAGCGGCTCACAAAGACATTGAGGCACGGTGAGCTGTGCCTGAACAGACCGGGTGCCCCCCTGCAGTCCTGTGCCTCACCAACATTTAACTCACACCAAGCACTTAACTTTGGACAAAGCAAGCCTGTAACATCGCTGTGAATAATTTATGTGGCCAGAGAAAGGCCTGAATTGTTTTTGAATAAAACTATGAAAAAGAAAACTTTTTTCCCACAGTTTTCTCTGTTTTTGTGTGCATTCTTTCTCCTGTATAGCAAAGTGACGTCATGTATGACTAATTTTGGAATGTACAGGTACTTTAGCACTGACACTTGTGTGTAGATAATGTGTACAGTCGCTGTGCTCACTCTGTATGGATTAAAATCATGGGACAAATATGCAAAATGTTGTTTTAAAAGCTTTACTTTGAATAATTGTAAATATAGGAGTATTAAGGCTGTGATTCAGAATGTTCTTCTGGCGATTTTTTTTTATTATTATTATTATTTTTAACTTCAGATTCGCATGAACCAGAGACCCCATGTTCAACTATGCAAACTGTCTGGGTTCCCTTTTTAAAAAGCTGGCATTTCACAGCACTGCTGACTGTGCTCCAATAAAAGGCTGTATTCTCTCCACAACCCAACCTGTACACAGGGAGCGTCCACGCTAACACCATGTGATCCACACAGGGTTTGTAATTTTAAACTAAATGATTTCAGAATAATATCTGATGATAAACTGTAGTGACAATCTAGAAAATGAATTTCAAAGGCTTCTGTTTAATGTAAAAACAACAACAAGACAGATTTATTCTTACTTTAGCCTTGTTCTGAGGAAAATTCAGCCTGTTTGGATGGCAGCACATTCACCCAACCAGAGGAGTGTAAACAAAATCTGTTGGTCCAACGGTGTGTTCAAGTGCTTTTTTTAAGGTTGTACCTATAAAATCAAAACAGCAACTGTTTGCAAGTTGGAAACAAACTGCAGAGATCTATTTTAGTAGTCCACTGAAGGTTTAGTTGTGCGCTTCAAACTCTGTGATATCATGTTGTGCAGTGTTTGTTTTTTGTTTTGTTTTTTTAATCTAACTACAAAATGTCCACCAGAGCCATAGTGGTTAGTCAATGAGTATTGCAAAAAGATTGTCAAATGAAAACCTCTTTTGCTGTTTACTGTGTACAGGAGAAAAAAATTCTTTCTAGATCATGTACAAAAATGAAAAAAAAAATTAAGCAACTGAATCTACAGCATGTTCCTCATTTAAACTTGTGTTATGTAAATTGTGCCATGTTATTAAAAATGTGTACTTGCCGATTTTGAGCCTTATTTCTCCACTGTCCTCTGGGCATGTCAGATTTTTCCTCAATGAGATTCTGGAAGACGAACTGCAGAAATACAGTTCTTGCCCAAAAACCAGCCGTGAAGATTTTGTTGATTTTTTTTTATTATTTAAAATGGATATCAGTGGATATCATGCTTTTGAATCCTTCCTTACAAAATCCTGTCTGAATTCCTCCTTATTCTAACTTTTTTTAATCACTTCAGTAGAAAAAAGAACTTATTAGTTTCTTAATTTCTTCATCATCAGTGATTTTTTTTAAGTAAAGAGAAAATAGAGAAATAGGGAAAAACAAAGAGAAGTAATTAGAAAGATTGAAATAGAGATTAGAAGTATATTAAATATACACCAAGAAAACACAGGACCACACTCCCAACATCTGTCCGCTCACCTATAAATAAATGGATGAATACATGGATGGCATGTATACATATATACACATATATTCTATCCTTATTCTAACTTTACCAGCTCCACTTTCACCAATTTTCTGCTGTGTGCCTCAAAGCAGCTGGTTTTGTTATTGTTCACTTTAAAACGCTTCAAGCCACACCTCCCTCTGGCTTCCAGACTGGTCAACTACGGTTAGAGAGAAGGGCTTAGCATTTTTTAGCGTTCAGAAATGTTTTATTTACAATTTATTTAAAAGATGTCAGCAAAAGAAGACTTGTCCATCCAGCCTTATATGTTGGAGCCAGAGTCTGACCCAGAACCAGAGAATGAAAACGTGGAAACTGTAGTCTGTAAGTTCAGAACTTATATTAATTCTGTCGCAGATATTTTTGACGTAACAGATTAGAAAACGTCATAGAAAACTGAGAAAATTGAAGAAGTTGAAAAATCTGACCCAAACAGAATATAAAGATATCTTTTCAGCACCAGGAGAGACTAAATGGAACTTTTCTGCCTCCTAGAGACTCCGAAGTCCACAACAAAATGTATTTAACAGCTAGAAAAGCGGATTTTTTTAACTATGTAGAAACTCTGTTGCCATAGTGTAATGAACTAAATATAAAGATGAAATATTTAAAAGAATTTTTTAGATAAATTAGTCATATCTTTAGAATTTTCCAAAAGATGATTGTTTAACTGTCTGTAATCAGATAGCAGCAGAGGCAGACTTTTTATTTTTAATGTCCAAATAATAACTCTGCTGCTTAGATGGGGTCACCTCAGCTCAGCAGGAAGTCTCAGGACAGATTGTGTTCAGACTACCAAATGTAGGCAGATTAAACAGGAACCTCAGATTGGTACAAAAAAAGTTTTCAGTGCACAGGTTTTAGCATTGTCTGTATGTAATCTGATCATTCAGGATGGAATTTAACTTCAAATTCCAATAAGTGTAGATAAGTTTGGATATATTTTTAGGTGCCAAAACTTATAATTCAGAACAGTTTGTTTTTCTTCAATCAACTCAGTTTGTAACATGAACATGTTAACACAGAAATAAAGATGTCTGTTATCATAGTACTAGCTAAATTCTGAACCAGCTGCAGATGGACCAACAGAACTGGTTATTGTGGAGTTCCTCAAGGATTTATCTTATGTCAGTTTAGTTTGAATTGTACATTGTTCCGTTATGTCAAATCTTCCAAAACTGCAAAATTTTATTCCATTGTTATTCAGACGGTACAAAGGTTTATTTACACTGGAGTCCTGAGGATCCCAAATCATTTCTATTCACTCCAAAGTATTATAGAGGTGAAAAGATGGACGTCTAATAACTGTCTCACTTAAATTATAGTAAGTCTTAGATAGTTATTTTTGGTCCTTCAAACACTTTTATTTATGTACTTTGTGGTCACGGAAAAAGGCATAAAAAATAAAATGATCTCCTCCAGGTTGGATTACTGAAACTCTACCCAGAGAAAGAGAAATGACCTTAAATAATGAAAAAGCTCTATAAATAAGAAGTAGACCACTGAAGGATGGTACCCTGAACCCTGAATCCCAGCCTGGTGTACCCAGGTGTACTTTGAAATTGCTTCATGCAGAAACAATCATTTTAGAATTTCAGATTTAAACAGCAGCTTACAGATTGATCTTTGTTTGTTCAGAGCTAATTTATAATCACCTCTAATTGTGTCTGAAAACAAACATTTCCATATCTGCCAGCCTAAGATGTGAACTGATGAGGAAAGTGTTTTTCTGACGTGAGAGCTTGTGTTCAGTTCAGTGACTGTGCACTAAAAACATCAGCAGCCTTCGGTGATGAATCAAAGCCCAATAATTGTAGATTCATCAAGTTATTGATATTCCCATTACTCTGAATCAGTGGCGGCTGGTGGAATTTTCTCCAGGTGGGGCTACAACTCCAAAATAGACGTATCCCAAAAAGCAATCAAGCATGTACTAAATTGTATCATGTCAGTGTATTTATTAAACAAATGACTATAATAAAACAGCATTACAATGTCATAGTGTTTTATTTTTAGTACATAAATTTTGCTCTTCTGTTACTGAGAAGCAAATTTCTTCATGACTCTGATTAAAGTCAGTGATGTTTTAACCAGATTCTTATAGAACATGGTCAGTGTGAGATGTGATGTTACCTGAGGAAAGTCTGGATTGTCTTCAGTGTTGAGAAGCTCCTTTCAGTCTCTGAAGATGCAGATTGTTCTCCATGAAGAGCTGGGACAGAGCCACACTGCAGCTCCTGAACTCATAAAAGCCTGTTCAATGTTTAGCTTGGTCCTGTTCAGTACTGCAGCCTCCATGGTGGTGAACTGGAGACCTGGAGGAACGTCTGCCTGCAGCTCTGATCAGATGCTTGTGAATGGCTCAAGATGATGTCACAAACCTAAAAAGAATAATTGAACAAATTTAATTCAGTATGGAGATGGCTACAAGTGAGCTTTCTAATATTCAACATATAGAAAACAACTGAATTTATGACTACACATGTTAATTTTTTAACAACAAATTGTTGCACCTCTAAGGTAT